GCATGAACATATCCAGGTTCAATTACACAGTAATATAAAAAAAATACAGCTGGTTTCATCTTAGATGGGAAACATAAAAAACAAAGAAAAGCATGTTCTTGATTTTAAAAATCAGAGGAAGTGTGACAGAGGGTATGCACTGTTAGTAATATATATTGAAAGGAAAGGAAATATGTGAAAGGAAAGGGAAAAGTGAAGTGCTTTGAAAAGAGATGAGTCCATACTTCTTCTGTGTCAGCTAAGAAAGCAAGCAGATACTTGAGATCATAACCTAGTGCCTATCAGCAGAAACAACGTGAAAATATATCAAAACTCAGTTGTTTTAACCAGAGTAGAGTGTTTCTCTTCACATACAAACTATTTTCTTGCCCTTTCTATTTGGATGAAATTTTTACTTATAAAGCAAGGGGCATAGGTTATCTTGATGCAAGATATTTTGAGACTTAGATAAAACTTTCAGACACTTCCACCTGCATTAGAGGTTATAGATGCAACACCCACACACACTTGGTTGTGTATAATAGAGTGTGTTTTTGATTATAGTGTTTTGTGGTTTTTTTGGGGGGTGGGTTATGTGCATAAGATGGTCTCTGTTGTTCTGGCCACGTGCTCTGTACATGGAAAGATGGGAGCCTTATATCTGGGCAAAATATCTAAAATCTTGTGGCCTAATTGGCCAGAGGAAGCAGAAGATTCTCCAGGCAGATTGAATAAGAGAGGCTGGAGCATGGCACTCCATATCTGAACAAGGCTTGGGTGATGTCACATCAGCTATATAAAAACAACTCAACTAAGGGTTTTTCTTTTTCTTTTCTCCTGGGGCTGCTAAGAGCTGCACAGCTGAACTGGGACCCAGAAAAAGTCTCACCATGGGGAATGGCCAGACACAGACATGAGTGAACTGGGCAGCTGTCCAGAGCCCAGACAGTGAGGTGGCCTGAAAATAGTTATTCTCCTTCTTTTTATTATTATCATTATCTCTGGTGAAGTGGGGGGTGGAGGAAGAAATACTAAATGTTTGCCCAGGGCCACCACAAGTTTAAATACAGTGTTGGGGGAGTGAAAGCTATGTGAAAGGAAAAGATCAGGTACAGGAAGAGAAAGTCTGTCTCAGAGTTTGAGACCCCTCTTTCCCCCTCCTTTTTGAGTGGGATAATACCACGGGGGCATTAATCCCTGGAGCAAACCGATCAGGAATGGAATCCTGGCAGTTTGGGCCAAACAGGTCTTCAGTAGGATGTATACTCATGGGGGTATACATCTCTGGAGTAGACTGAGCAGGAATGGAGTCCAGGCAGTTACTGGCCACATGGGCCTGCCCCCCTCCGTTTTGTAATTGTAACGTCTCAGGTTAGTGGTATAGCTAAGCCTGGATGTTCAGGCTGGAGCCATAAGCCTAGGGTCTTTTTGCTGTTTCACAGCTATTGTGTTTCAGCCTAGCTGTGAGGCTGAACCCCAGTCAGATATGTTTGGCTGGTTGATATGGGCCAAGGTGGAGCCTGGCACGTCTTGTTGTTGTTATATGCTTGGCCAATTTTTTGCTGCCCAGTTCAGCCTCAGAGAGATAGGCCTGGGATTCCTTTTGTCCCTTTTGTAGTTTATATCCCAACCACATGATGTGGTTGTGCACTGGTTGCAGTTCAGACCTAGCCCAAGATAGGCCTGACCTTCCGTCTGAGTTCTTTTGCTGTTTTCTGGACAGCGGAGCTGGGATTAGGACTAGGAATTTTGGAGCTTGGTATGCTGGCGAAAGCTGCAGTTAACCCCTGAAAGCCTCCATGCAGAAGTGGAGATCCGTACTCTACAACATCTCCAGGAGTCCCTTGCAATGGAGCAATAAAGCAATGGAGCCCCTTGCAATGCAGAAGGACCCACACTCTCCAGCATCTCCTTGTGGCACAGTGAACCCAAGGAGCAGCTCATAGGACTCCCTGGTGTGAGCCCTCCTCTCCAGCCCATTGCTGAAGGGCAGGTATATTTGGAAGGTTTCTTGTATTTACACTGCTTGTGTAGAGGGGATTTAGTTTATGGGACACCCCAGCAAATTTATTGTTCCCAGCTTTTTCGGTGGGTGGTTAAGCCACTGCCATAATTTATGCAGTACCCCAAAAAGTGGACCTGGCTCTTCTTGCTGCTGACCGGTGTCCAGCAGAAAGGTTACGTACAGCTATAATCATTTCAATGAAGAAATACTTCCACTCATGAAACAGTTGTACCAGTACATAAATTATGTATAAAACAGGATTAAGGAAAGAAATCAATGGAACTCCTAGTATGGAGGGGAAAGACTTTAATATTTCCTGTAAATGGCATTTTTGATTGAATGCTCCTTTGTAGAAATGTAATCATAAGCTCTCCTTAATATGATAATGAATCCTTACTCCTTTGAGTTGATAGGAAGAGAAGGTGAGGGGTTAAGGAAGAAGTGGACAACTATGAAAGACAGTCAGTCTGCCAAAATCAGTGGTTAATCACTGGTTTCTTGAGAGAAAGAGGTTTTCTATTTTTGTAACTCAACTAAGCAGAGCCAATCCAGTTTGAGGTGTTATAAAAATTATGAAGGGTGCCTACAGACATTCAGGGAGGTGAGGGAGAGGTTAGATCATATTAAAAATGGCTACCTGTTCTAATTTAGTTCATCCAGGTGTGGACTGTTCACTTAGATGCTTAGTTAGGTTGATCTAAATGCAACTTGTAAATAAGTGATAGGAAGGTTAGACTGGTGTAATAATGGCTGACTTGATCCAAATTAAACCTACCTCTGACATAATGTAACTTAGATTGGTTTGGCTATTTTTAGACTGATCTAACTTTTCTGAACATCTGTATAGTTTCCAGCACAACCCCAAGGCTGGGAAAGCCCAGCTGCTGCCCCCAGCCCCAGGGTCACAATTTTCCTATACACCACCTTGGAACTGGATTCTTTTTAGTCCGTCCACCCTTTTTCCCAACCCCTCCCCTCATGGATTAACCAGCCCACCAAACCCCCATCCCATAAATTGGCTCCTGGTGCCAGTTTTCTCAGCCTTTGCTGAAACCAGAACTGAGGAAGTAAGTCCCAATGGGGAGAGGGGTAGGAGGAGTTGGGGGGTAAGTTCACCAGGTGGGGGGTCAAGGGGCTTCAGGGCATGGGAAAGAGAGCTACCTATCCCCCAAGCTCCCCCACAGACCCTGCAACCCACCTTGATCATGCCAAACCCTCTCATAACCCAGCAAACTCCCTGCATACTCTGCCCGGTCCCCAATTTCCCCTGATCCTTCCCACAGACTCCACTTGCACCCCTGATTTTCCTCACCCCTCTTCAGACCCCACTAGCCTCCTGATCCTCCCTAAAGATGCCACCTACCTCCCCATTCTTCCCTGAGCCTGCTTGCCCCCAATTCCCCCAACCCCCCTACTAGCTCTTCCATCCCAACTTACATTAAATAAGGCGGCCACTTTTAACTCAATCTAACCTCTTCCTAACCCAGCCAAATGTCTGAAGCCAGACCTATAGTATTTACCTGTCATTTTCTTTGTATTTTAAATAAGCTGGTTTAAAGCACAGTTTTATACAACTACTGTTGTACTAATTTCTTCTTTTCACTGACCCAGAAAGATGAAACTCTCTCAAATGTCTACAGATAACTGTGTTTAAGGATTAAGGGGTTTCTCAAGCTTAAACATCTACTTTTCATCTCAGTTGAAGGAGGATTAAGAGTTCTGGGGCCCTGGGATCAGAGAGCACGTTGACTATCATCCATCATAGAAAACTGTTAATATTAACTCCTTTTCTAAATATGAAATGGCATAAATATATTAGAATTGAAAAGACTGCCTTATATATAAAGACAATTACTGTAGTTATACCCCCTCCCACCCCAATCTGAATTTTGGTACCCTGTATAATTTTACCCGCCTTATCCTCACTTGCAGAGCCTGTTAACAGACCCTGCCAGAACCCATTTATCAGCAACACCAACAGATGAGCGAGCTGTATCCAAGTCCACTCTATACCTAGCAATGGCAGTCTATTGAAGAGCAGAGCAAACTTGAACAATGATCTCTTCTTCTTGTCCTCTGCCTGTCCTCCCCCCACCCTTTCCCCCTTGCAGTCTTTCAATTTGCTCACCACTCAGCAAATAAGCAGAGGGTAGAGGAGGAAAGATCAAGTAATAGACGTGAGTTGGCAGTGATGAGGGGAAGAAGGAAGGTGAGAAACAGTAGGAAATGAAGAGATGGATCTTTCAGTATCACTAGATTTTACACTGCACAGAAAGAATAAAAAAAGAAGACTGTAAAGCAGATAGCAATGACATACTAAAATGTATCATTGGGACCTTAATGCGCTATTCCTAATGCACATTAAATTTAGTACCTGCAATGTGAGGTACTAAATAAATTTGCATTAAGCAGCCTTAATGTGTAGCACCAAAAGTGCACATATTTTAAGTTATGCTTAATACACATTAGCCTATTTTTACTGTACATAAACATAATTGCACAGTTTTTAATGTGATGTTTCAACGCACAGTAAAATAGGTGCATGTGTAGTAGGGGTGTGCAAAACGGGTCATATTTTATTCAGATTTGGACGAATCCAATTCTGAAGATTTGATGCCGATTCAGGGAATCAGTAATTTGGACATAGACACATCGATTAAAGGGTCTCCTGATTTGATTCATATTTGGAGATTTGGCCACTGAATCGGGTTGAATCTTCACCGAATCAAATCAGGAACTGAAGCTTTGCACAGCCCTAATATGTAGTCATGAACTTATTGTACCAAAGGGGTCCTGTTGGTGTCTCCCTTTTGCTGTTTTACATTCTATCATGGAACAGCCATTTGTTGAGAAAAAAGTACAAATGACTGAGGACTTTATTCCTTTGACTTCCTGTTTAAATAAATACATTTACTCATAACCACAACAAAAGTGATGTACACCACCTACCTTTCCAGCTAGTATTAATTGCTACTTGCTATAAATGTTTATGCTTTATTAATTACATTAATATTCACTCTTCAGATCCTGCAACTTAATAGGATCCTCCCCTGGAAATTGTCTGACACATGGCATCTTGCACATGAAAAATAATTACTATTCAAAATTAATACTGTACATCTCAGGAATAATAGTCATCACAGATGCTGATGACTCAGCAATGTTCAAAGGGGTGACCGAGCAGGAATTAGAGGCTGGGAAATCACTCCAATCACTCGCTACCTTCACAATATGGTTGCCAGCTTTTAACAAAAGACTCCCAAGAGTCTACTCTAATACATCACTGTAATTCCTCCAACGAGATTGGAAATGCTCCATCATACCCAGGAGACAGCCTGTTAAATGTGAGTACTCCCAGTAAGTGGATGAAACATTACAAAACAAAATACTGAATTGTGATAATTTGATGTTGCTGGAGTGTCTAAAGGGAAACTGCTTGTAACCACTGAGAAGTACTGGAAATTACCTTAAATGATAAACATGTCCATAAATATTAATTGAAATGTTTAACAGGATTACAGCTGATTATTTTCTTGTATTCACTTTCCTCATACGTTCAAGGAAGAAAAGTTTATTAATATGAATAATTATTTAGTTTAAATGTTAATCTCAAATGGTCAAACATTTATTGAAAAGGAATTCACAATTAAGTAGATGAGTTGTGTTGGTTAATTAATAAGGAATACAACTAGACATGTTGCTACATGAATGATGTTGCTAAAAAATGAAAGGAGTATTTTGAAGTTGGACTGTTTGCAGTGAACTGCTCAAAAATGACCCGCAGAGTTAGAACTATTTGCTGATGAAAGCAAGTCCCCGCTCAGTCTTTTTTTCACCAGACTATATAACCCCAAATCTTCTAACCTTTCCTAATATGTCAAGTTTTCTAGACCTCTGATTCTCTTGCTCTCCTCTAGACTCCTCAGTTTGTCCACATATTTCCTGAAGTGTCCAAATGCAGACTTGGTAATCCAGGAAGAGGTGTCCCATGATTTACATGTAAGAGTCCAATTAATGCAATCTATTATGCTTTTTTTTTTTTTTTTGG